TCTCTCCCTCTTTCTTCCTCCCCCTCACTTATCTCTCACCCTCTCTGTATATCACTGCCCCCTTGTGTTCAGGGCAGTGAGCTGCACTGGCTGGCCTGTGCTCTCTATGTGGCCTGCAGGTCCTCGATGCCGACGGTGGGGAAAGGCACCGCTGAGGGGAACTATGTCTCTCTAACCAGAATCCTACGCTGCTCAGAAATGAGGTACACCCATGATGCATCTGTGCACCCCCCTGCATCTACGTTCATGACCTCAGAAAATAATATTTCCAGGGAACAATGATATTAAAAAGTCTTCAGTTTCACATAAACACAAATAAATGTCCAGAGCATCTGACAAACACATTCAATAAAAATTGTGTGCACATTGCCGAATCATAAGATACATTTTCTTAACTTTACATAGAATGTTGAGATATTTCAGTTCTCACATCACAACCTCCCGAATGTCCAGCAGGTCTGAAAAATGCTTTACAGAACCAGGAACACCTGGAACTACTCACATGTTTAAAGTTCTAAAGACTGAGAAAGTGACGATTGTTCAAATGTGGAACAGATGCAGTTTAATCTGAGTGTTTCTCATTTTTAAGATCAGTTAGTTCACCAATCAATGAATCATTGAGTTGAATATTCAGAATATTCCTCCCGCAGTATGTGGAGCACTGGTGACTTTGTGCTCTGCTCTTATACCTTGTCTGTTTGGTTCTCGACTTCAGCCTGATCGAGTTCTTTAATAAGATGAAGAAGTGGCAGGACATGGCCGCCCTGCCGCAGGATTTCCGTCAGAGCACAGAGAAGCTGGAGAGGAACTTCACAGTGTCCGCGGTCATCTTCAAGAAGTATGTTCCCATCTTTAAAGCCATGTTCAAGACACCGTCTGAGGAGCCGCCCCGAATTCACCGCAGCCGCAAACAGAGGTGGGACCTCATGACCTTTGACCTCAACTGATGATGAGTTTCAGATGTTACGTGAGCTTTTAATCAGCAGAGACAAGTCATGGTTCTGTTCTGGAGGAGGATTCCTGAGCCTCTAAATCTGCTTCATTAAGAACTGTGACTGACCAGTTAGCATCTATACATCTGTACACATGACTGATGCATTAACAGGTTTAATGTAAGCATGTGCTCAGTCCGTGATGTGTAACTCATGTCTTTGTTTTCCAGACGTCATCCCTGCACTGTGACCGAGGTCTTCAACTTCTGCTGGGTTTTATTTGTCCACGCTAAAGGTAAAAACTCTAGAACATTTAGAACAGCAGGAAGTGATGTCAAAACAATTTGTGTTGGGTTTTTTTAACGCTGGACAGGTGTTTTTCCAGACATGAACTGAACCACAGACGTGTTCCTCACATGTTCTGCAAGTTCTGTATGTGAAAACAAATGTATGAGTCAGTGTCTCTGGACATCTGGAACCTTCTCAGTGAGCCAGTGGGCGTGTCTCTGAGGTTTCTAACACGTGACGGACGT